CCCACCACCCTCATGGGAGACCTGTATGGATTTCCAGGCTCCTGGGTGCAACCTGACCCAGCCTCAGCCATTGTGGCCATTTTGGGGAGTGAACCAGCAGATGGAAGATATCTCTCTCTCCCCCACTCCTTCTCTCTCTTTCCTTCTGTCTCTGTAACTCTGCCTTTCAAATAAATAAATAAATCTATCTTTGGGGCCAGTGTTGTGGTTCAGCGGGCTAAGCTGCCACCTGCAGTATTGGCATCCCATATGGACACTGGTCTGTGTTCCGGTTGCTCCACTTCCAGTCCAGCTCTCTGCTAATGCGCCTGGGAAAGCAGCAGAATATAGCCCAAGTGCTTGGGCCCCTACACCTACTTGAGAGACCTGGATGAAGCTCCTGGCTCCCAGCCTTGGCTGTTGTGGCCATTTGGGGAGTGAAGCAGTGGATGGGAGATTGCTGTCTCTCTGTAACTGCCTGGTGGTATTGGAGCCCTGGCTCTGGCACTTAGCTGTGTAGCTTTGGTTACAGGACACAGCTGTTTGTTTTTGCACCTGTTGAATGGCATGTGCTGCACAGGAACCCTACAGTGGGATACGTGGGGAACTCAGGAAAGTAAGCACTCACAAGGACAGACAGCATTTTTAGGGTCATCCTTCTGCTGATGGATCCCAAATAAGAATCCCGAGTCCAGGCCCCTTTCCTGAGGCTTACAACCTGCAAATCTTGGCCTGCATGTCTCGCCAGCTGCATCAATTCAACAAGTCTAAAACTGAGCCAGAAACTCCCTTTGGAGAACACCACCGGAAGCTTCCACTCCCCCAAGCCAGGGAAGTCAGCCTTTGTCAACTCTGAAATATCTCTGACCCTGGTCCCCAGCACCCTCAGCCTGACCCAGGCTGCCATCATCTCTGCCATCCCAGAAAGGTTGACAAGGCCTTCCCCTACTATGTAGTCTGCACAACGGCCACAAGTCTGTTCCGGATGCCCCTTAGCCCCTTCCTCAGCCTTCTCTCTGCTCTCCACACAGAAGGCACATTCGGCAGAGCGGCTTCCTGAGCCTCCTCATCTTGTCGTTCTCACACTCTGCCCTCTTCCCACCACGGGGGACTTGCACTTCCTCTCCAGGTCTCAGGGCCTTTGCACAAGCAGTTCTTTCTGCCCGGGACACGTTCCTCTGCTTGCCTTCTGTAGCTGGCTGGTGGCTATTCAGATCTCAGCAATCCTCCTTCCAGGAGGCCTTCTTTGACCTCGGTGTTCTGAACCTATCCTACAGAATAAACAATACATTTTCACATTTTAATGTTGTCTTTTTTTCCTAATATAATGTCCTTCTGTGTCTCTTTTTAGAAAGATTTATTTATTTATTTGAAAGGCAATTTACAGAGAGGCAGAGGGAGAGAGAGAGAGAGAGAGAGAGAGAGAGATCTTCCATCTGCTGTTTTACTCCCTAAATGGCTGCAACGGCTGGAGCTTCGCTGATCCAAAGCCAGGAGCCAGGAACTTCTTACAGGTCTCCCATGTGGGTGCAGGGGCCCAAGCACTTGGTCCATCTTCCACTGCTTTCCCAGGCCACGGCAGAGAGCTGGACCAGAAGAGGAGTATTTGGGACTTGAACCAGTGCCCATATGGGGTGCCGGCACTGTAGGTGGAGGCTTAACCCACTATGCTACAGCGCCAGCCCCCTTCATGCTGTCTTTTTTTTTTTTTTTTTTTTTTTTTTGGCAGGCAGAGTGGACAGTGAGAGAGAGAGACAGAGAGAAAGGTCTTCCTTTTGCCATTGGTTCACCCTCCAATGGCCGCCGCGGCCAGCGCGCTGCGGCCGGCGCACCGCACTGATCCAATGGCAGGAGCCAGGTGCTTTTCCTGGTCTCCCATGGGGTGCAGGGCCCAAGCACCTGGGCCATCCTCCACTGCACTCCCTGGCCACAGCAGAGAGCTGGCCTGGAAGAGGGGCAACCGGGACAGAATCTGGCGCCCCGACCGGGACTAGAACCCGGTGTGCCGGCGCCGCTAGGCGGAGGATTAGCCTAGTGAGCCGCGGCGCCGGCCCCATGCTGTCTTTTAAAAGTTCCTCCAGTACCCAAGTCACACCAGCAGCGATGGTTTAATCTTCGGCTCTGTGTCCTCACTAGCCAGGTAGGCACGGGCAGTCTGTGTGCCATGAATGACTGGCAAGAGAAACATGAGCCAGATCACAGAAGCCAGACCAGCCGGGTGAGTGGAGGAGACTAACAGGCGGGTGATGTTTCTACCGCACAGTGTGATACGGGTAGGGCCAACGCCACGCATCATGGAAGCTGGGCAGGGGTCAGGCACCACACACACACCTTGCATCCGAGAAGCCGGGAAACCTGCTCTTTCTCCTGTTGCATGAACAGCCCCAAGAGTTTTAGGTCAGGGGTAGGACGACTAGAGGTGAGCTGGGCAGAGTGTGGAAGTAAGCAGGCAAGACCAAAGGTCAGAGACAGGAGGCTGTGACAGGTAAAACATGTATGCCAGAAAACACTGACAGCCAGGGAAGGGCCCTGGGGAGAGAGAGAGGTTTCACTGCATGCTCTCTTGGACCTAAGGAATTCTGACTCCTGTGTCAATTGCTCAAAATGTCATTTCCGAGTGGACAAGGGGCAGGTGTTTAGCGCAGTGGTTGGTTTGTTGCATGGGACATCCACATCCTGCAGCAGGGTGCTTGGCTGGAGTCCTGGCCGCTCTGCTTCTGATCTGTCTTCCCCAGGATGTGTGTCCTTGGGGCCAGCAGGTGACGGCTCAGGTACTTGGGTCCCTGCCATTCCTGCGGAAGGCCTATATGGAGTTCCTGGTTCCTGACTTCCACTTCCCTGGCCCTGGATGGTGCAGGCATTTGGGGAGTGAACCAGCTGATGGAGGATCTCTGTCTGCCTGCCTTTCAAATGAAAATATGAGGGGAAATGGAGTTGAAAAAAAGAATTGGGGTGGGCATTACAGCAAGCCAGTCAAACTACCACTTGGGACGCCCACAGTTAGCCTGGTTTGAATCCCAGCTACTCCATGCTTCTGATTCAGCTTCCTGCTAGTGTGCCTGGGAGGCAGCAAATGATGGCCCAAGTCCTGCCACCAGGAGAACTGGATGGAGTTCCAGGCTTCTGGTCCTGCCTTGGCTATTTTGGGTATTTGTGGGTGAACCAGCAGATGGAATTTATCTCTTTCTCTCTGTCTCTCTGTTTCTGTCACCCTGGCTTTCAAGTAAATAAATACATCTTAAAGAAGTAAAAGAGGGGCCGGCGTTCTGGCACAAGTTAAGGCACCATCTGCATCCCATCTGAGCACAGTTTTGAGTCCCAGTTGCTCCACTTCTGATCCAATTCCCTGCTAATGGCCTGGGGAAAGCAGCAGAAGATGGCCTAAGTGCTTGGGTCCCTGTCATCCACATGGAAGACCCAGATGAAACTCCTGGCTTCTGGTTTGGCCTGGCCCAGCCCTGGCCATTGTGGGTGGCCACTTGGGAAGTAAACCAGCAGATGGAAAACTCTCTCTCTTTTCTTCTCTTTCTGAAACTCTGCCTTTAAAATAAATAAATAAATCTTAAAGAAGAAGAAAAAGAGAAGCAGGAGGAAGAAGAAACTCTCTATAGCTCGCCTAAAATTCAAATAAAGTCCAGGAGCCTAACCATCCCCTCTCCTGATCCCACCCCAGCCTTCTCCTCCCTCCACCTGTGCCACCAGTCCGTAGTTCCTCATTTGCATGAATCATTATTGTAAAAGTCCCTCAAGTTCATTTTAAAAATCATCACCAGGTAGAGCCGGTGATTGGCACAGCAGCTGACACCACTCAGGACACCTGTGTCACGGATCAGAGTGTCCCATCTCTGCTTCTGATTCCAGCTCCCTACAGGAGCAGACCCCGGAGGCTGCGGGCCCCTGCCACCCGCATAGGAGATCCGGACTGAGTTGTGGGCGCTTGGTTTTGGTTCGGCCCAACCTTGGCTGTTGTAGGGAATGAACCAGTGGATGGAAGATCTTTCTCTGTTTCTTTGCCTTTCAAATAAAAATAAGGAAAGAAAAATTAAAGAAAAAAATTGCTATCCAACTTCTCTGTAGTGCTGATGGCAGGGTCCCTGGTCTCGCTTGGATGCCCAGCCCTGGGCCCTACTGACCCAGCACACAGCAGCCCAGGCCATCAGGAACTGCCAGGTGAGGTGTGTGGGAGGGACAGGTCAGGCAGTTCTGGCCCTATGTCCTGGGGACAGGCACTGGTAATTGAATCTGTACTCTGAGCCTTGAGTTCCAACACAAGAAACTATGTCCTGACTTCATAAATATATTCAATTATTATTTGTCAATTAAACATCTAGTGAAAGAGAAATTATTTTCCCTGACTGTGGGCTCTGGGTCTTGACACCAGTACCAGGGCAGAAGAGATTCCTGGTCTCTGGGCAGAGGGCCCTGGGCAGGAGTCTGGTGTCACTGGCTGCCCAGGGCAGGCCTGTGGGTGAGGAGCCGCCCAGCCCCCAGTTGTTTTGTAACAGCTGCTGGACTGGGCCAGAGGAGAAATTTCAGGAGCTGGGGTGGGGTGGGGAGGAAGAGGTCAGCGGGAAGAGCAAGGCCACTGGGGAGGCTGATTTGGTCCCAGGCCCTGGGGGCAAGAGGCAGACAGTGGTTGGAGCTCCAGGCCTCTCAGAGGCAGACAATAGGGCCTTTGGAGCAAAGGCAAGATGGATGGAGGGGAGAGCAGGGATCTGCCAGGCCCCCTGCCTTCACAGCCTCCCCCTTGGCCAGCCGCCTGGCCTGGCTCCCAGGCAGAGGCAGCTGGAGTGATTGGTGTGGGTGAGGGAGTAACAAGTGCCAGGGGCTTGTCTCATGTCTCAGAGCTCAGGGAGCCTGCCAGAGTGGAGGGCACGACTAAGAGCGAGAAATAGAGACAGAGATAAACAGTGATAAACACGGACAGCACCAGAGAGACAGGCAAGAGGAGCAGGAAAGGAGACGGAACCCGAGACTGAGGGGCCACACCAAAAGGGGCGTGGGGGGCAGGGGAGGTCAGCAGCCACAGGGCAAGCTGACCTCTCTTTACCCCTTCCCGGACCCCTGCTGTCTGCCCATCTTCCCTCTGTGTGGCTGTCCCAGGGCTTCTCAAGCTCAGCACCATTGACATGGAGGGCAGGATGACCCGTGGATGGGGGGGGGGGGGGAGGCTGTCCTGTGCCCTGTGCGGTGCTCAGTAGCCTCTTTGACCTCTACCCACCTGCCTGTAGTGCACTCCCCCACCCCCCCCATTGTGGAGACCTAGTGTCTCTAGACATCACCGGGAGTTCTCTGCGACAGGACTGCTCTGAACTGAGCAGCTTACCTGCCCTCCAGGTGTGGTCTTGAGAAGAGCTAACTCCTAGGTGTCTAATTCTCCCATCAGCCCCTCTGCAAGGCCCCTGCCCCAGCACGGCTTCAACCTCCCTAACTGGAAAGCCAAAGAGACTGGGAGAGCGACTGAGCTCAGAGAGAGGGTCTGAAGGACTGCTGAAGCCCTCACAGAACTTCTGCTACCCTCACAGAGCTTCTGCTTTTGCTCCATGCAGAAGACCCTGCAGGTATGTTCTGGAGTATTTTAGGGAGTACTTTGTGAGTGTGTACGCTTGTCTCTAAAGGGGGGGAGGGAGAGCTGCACCTCCGACCATGTCTGGACAAGGCTCTTGCAGCAAGTCTGTGTTTTATTCTGTAACAGAGGTAAGAAATACCTGAATTATTTATTTCTCCAAATTGAATTATCTGCCCCCCAACCCTGTGCTAGGTGACTGGTGGGAAACTCAGTCACAGTTCTATTTTGGGCATCTCTACCCACTGGTAAATGTTCACAAATGATTTGGGTCGAGGGATTTGATTTGTAGCATTTGCCAGTTTCCATGGTGAAAATACTCCCGTTATGGCCCATTTCAAGCTACCAGCACTGCGCACCTGAAGAGGGAACTGGGAGAGATGTGCACCAGCACAACTTTGGGTGGGGTTCCCACTATCCAGCTGTGAACAATAGCAAGGGCAAAGATGACACTAAAATAATTAGGAAGTGATGCACTTCGATGATTGTTATCACTTTTGAATGTACTTGAATTAGAAGCTTACAACTTAGGGTTTTGTGATGTGTCCACCCAGCTGAGGCACCGTGTATAACTCCTGGGGGTGGGGTATGCAGTCCAGAACATTGGGGGAGGGATGTTCTCTGATCTTCCATGGACGCTGTCCCCGTGACTCAGCTTGGCTTGGCCACAGAGGTCTTTGTGTCTCCGCAGGCAGCTCTGCAGGCTCAGCCAAGGTCCCAGGAGATGTAAGCGGCAGTGATGCCAAGTTGCTTCTACTTCAGAAAAGACAAAGCAGCAGCGAAGACACCCAGCCCCCTGCTCACTTTCTCAGGCTTGAGAGAGCTCATCAGACATTCTCTGGTGGGCCCACTTCCACCCCTCCTGAGTTGGGAGCCCTGTGCAGGCACTGGAGCAACCTAGCCCCATGTCTCCAGGAGCTGAGCCTTAGTAAACAAAAGGCCTGGCTGGGGGTTTCTCATGGTGCCTGGCAACTCCAAGGCCTTAGCAACCTCAGTCGCCACTCCTAGGCAGGAAGGAGGAAACGTCCCTCAGCAAGGCGACCACAAAGCAAATAGCAATGCGCTGAGGCTCTGAACTAAATAAAGGAAGCGTTCAGGCTAGAAAAGGAGAGATTCTGGTGAGACTTCAAGAAAGACTTCCTGGCCTACCTGGAGGGAGACTAACACAGGCACTGTGAGCCAGGTAAGAAGCTCCCCTCCAGGCTGCTGACTGACCACTCAGCCGACCTATGGCCCCATGCTCAGGTAACTTCCTCTGATGGTTCCCTACTCCTAGAGTAAAGTCTCTCTCTCTCTCTCTCTCTCTCTCTCTCTCTCTCTCACACACACACACACATACATACATGCATATTTATATATATACATACATACATATATATATACACACACACTCCCTACTCCTCAGGGTAAAGTCATATATGTGTGTGTATACACACACAATACATAAATATACACATACACACATACACACAATATAGATACACAAATGTATACATGTATACACACTCATATATATGTATATGCATACATATATATATTAATTTATTTGAAAGGCAGGATGACAGAGGGAGAGAGAGACAGACAGAGATCTTCCATTCACTGACTCACTCCCCAAATGGCCCCAGTGGCCAGAGCTGGGCCAGTCTGAAGACAGGAGCTTCTTCTGGGCATCCCCTATGGGTTGCAGGGGCCCAAATATTTGGGCCATCTTCTGCTGCCCCCCAGGTGCACTAGCAGAAAGCTGGACCTGAAGCAGAGTAGCCGGGACTCCAACTACGCACTCCCATGTGTTGCTGTGGATTCGTTCTGAGAGGAGGAGTGCAGTGGGGGCAAGAGGCACGGAATCACCACCACACAGACCCTGGGAGTCGGTGAAAGCAGGCCAGAGGTGAGCAGCCTGCAGATCCATTTATTTCTGTTGGTACAGCAGCTTATATAGCCGAGGCAGCCAATCCGGTCAAGCGGCGGTTTATGCCCTAACCAATCACAGCCTGTTGCCAGGCAGTTTCCGAAGCCATCCAATCACAGCCTGTTGCCAGGCAGGCTCCTTTGCCAGTGGCCATCTTGGCATGGCCTTCTCATTCCACCACACCCATGTGGGATGCAGGCATGCCAAATGGCAGCTTAATCTGCTGCACCACAATGCCCACTCCCCTAAAGTCATATTAATATCTGAGTGCCTGAACCTTATGAGGTAGGAGTTGTCCAGTTTTACAGATGAGAAAACTGAGGTTCAGAGAGGGTGAATCACTTGTTTGAAGGCACAGAGCTAGGGAAGTCATGAAGACTGAAATAAGAACTCACATCTGACATCAAAGCCTGTGCTCTTGGTGCCACGTGACTCCCTCTCTCATTTCCACCTGTCCCATCCTCCTCTACAGCCTCCCCTACTACAACCTGCACCCCCTCTCCATAAATAAGCTGGTAGGAGTGGGGGGGGGGGGCAGCGGTGCAGTGGAGTAGCTGGTAAAGCCTCCCCCTGCCGTGCTGGCATCCCATATGGGCACCAGTCTGAGTCCTGGCTACTTCACTTTTTTTTTTTTTTAAAGTTCACAGAGGACCAGACTTCTTTTTTTAAGTCTTTTTTTTTTTTGCTAAGATTTATTTATTTATTTGAAAGTCAAAGTTATGCAGAGAGACAAGGAGAGGCAGAGAGAGAGAGAGAGATGCACAGAACTTCCATCTGCTGGTTCACTTCCCAAGTGGCCGCGATGGCCGGAACTGTGTGAATCCTAAGCCAGGAGCCAGGAGCTTCTTCCCGGTCTCCCACGCAGGTGCAGGTCCTTGGGCCATCCTCCACTGCTTTCCCAGGCCATAGCAGATAGCTGGGTAGGAAGTGGAGCAGCTGGGACTTGAACTGGTGCCCACATGGGACACCAGCACTGCAAGCGGCGGCTCCACCCGCTATGCCATAGCACCAGCCCCTGCTTCACTTCTGATCCAGCTCTCTGCTATGGCCTGGGAAAGCAGTGAAAGATGCACCCGTTGTGGGAGACCTGGGTGAAGTTCCTGGCTCCTGGCTTCAGCCTGGCCTAGTCCTGACCATTGTGGTCATTTGGGCAGTGAACCAGCAGACAGAGGTCCTCTCTCTCTTTCTCTGCCTCTGCCTCTCCCTATCTGTAACTCTGACTTTACTTCTTTTTATAGTTATATATTTTAATATATACATATTTCAAAAATATTCATGTTTTTCAAATAAATAAATTAATAAATCCTAAGGGGGGGAGGATAAAAAGAGAAGCTGGCAAGAGGAACAATCTCAGGGGTGGAGAACACCTGGCCCGCAGGCCATTTATATAAGGCCCCTGAAATCATTTGGTCTGGCCCTGCCAAGGCACCCACATGGGACTCAAAATTCAATAAATCTATAGCAGGCTAGTTTTGAAGTTGATCATATGGGCTGCAAATGATGTTATAAATATCCAAATGTCCACTGACAGAAAAAAGATTACCCATCCCTGAATTAATTGATGAACCTGCAAAACCATCGCCTTGGTTTAGTGATCGCCGACCGTACCATAAGATAATTTTAAAACAGTGCTATTGAACGTTTTCTTTCTAAGCCAGATAAACAGCATCTCAACTTTAGCACTGCACAACTGCCATTTTGAGAAAGGTTATTCTTTGTGTGGAGGGTGGGGCAGTCCTGTGCACAATCCCTGGCCTTTATCCACTAGATGTCAGTAGTACACCCCAGGGTCCTACAGCCAAAAATGTCTCCAGTCACTGCCAAAATGTCCTCTTGGGTGACAAATCCCCCATCCCACCGTTGAGAAACACTAAGTTAAACCCAAGATTGAAAAAAAAAATCTCTCTCCATGAAGCAAGTTTTAAGAGTTATATAAATTCATTTTTTGTTCTAACAAACTACCTGAGCTGGGTGATGTCTAAATCAAAGAGGCAGAGGTCAGTATTGTAGTATAGTGGGTTAAGCTGCTCCCTGAAATGCCAGCATCCCAGATGGGCACCGGTTCGAGTCCTAGTTGCTCCACTTCCAATCCAGCTCCTGCTAATGTACGTGGGAAAGCCGCAGAGGGATGGTTAAATGTCTGGGCACCTGCCACCCATGTGGAAGACCCAGATGGAGTTCTAGGCTCCTGGCTTCAGCTTGACAGTTTCAGCTTTGTGCCATTTGGGGAGTGAACCAGCAGATGAAAGACCTTCCTCCCTCTCTCTTTTTCTCTAACTCTTTCAATTAAATAATTATTAAAAAAAAATAAAGAAGCGGGGCCAGCTTTGTGCACAGAGGTTTAACCAACACTTGCAACACCAACATGCCATATCGAGTGCAGTTTTGAGTTCTGGCTGCTCTGAGGGCACCAGAAGATGGCCCAAGTACTTGGACCCTGGCCACTCATGTACAAAACCAGGATGGAGTTCCTGGTTTCTGGCTTTGACCTGGATATTGTGGCCATTTGGGGAGTGAGCCAGTGGATGGAAGATATTAATCTTTCTTTCTCTGTCACTTTGCCTTTTAAATAAATAAATAAATCTTTAAAAAAGAAAAAGAAGTTATTTAGCTCACAGTTTTGGAGGCAGGAAGTGCAAGATCAAGTGATCCCATCAGTTTGGCCTTTGCTGAGGGCCTTCTAGCTATATCCCAACAGGGCTGATGGGATCATGGCAGGAGATTGTGCCAGAGCAGAGAGTAGTCACATAATAAGACAGTTGTGCTCTTTATAACAACTTGCTCTCAAAGGAACTAAATGGGATTCCTGGGGATACATTAATCCTTCATTTTAAAAAAGATTTATTTCTTTAAAATTTATTTATTTATTTGAGAGGCAGAATTAGAGAGAGAGGGACAGAGAGAGATCTTCCATCTGCTGGTTCACTCTCCAAATGGCCGCAATGGCCTGAGCTGGGCCAATCTGAAGCCAGGAGCCAGGAGCCAGGAGCTTCTTCCAGGTCTCTCATGTGGGTGCAGGGGCTCAAGCACTTGGGTCATTTTCCACTGCTTTCCCAGGCCATTAGCAGGGAGCTGGATTGGATGTGGAGCAGCTAGGACTCAAACCAGTGCCCATATGTGATGCCAGTGCCACAGGTGGAGCTTTAACCTACCATACCAAAGCACTGGCTCTTATTTATTTATTTTTTAATGATGTTTTTCTTTTTTTTTCTTTAGGATTTATTTTATTTATTTGAAAGAGTTACAGAGAGAGGTAGAGACAGAGAAAGAGGTCTTCTATCTGCTGGTTCACTTCCCAGATGGCTGCAACAGCTGAGGCTGCACCGATCCGAAGCCAGGAGCCAGGATCTTCTTCCGGGTCTCCTACATGGGTGCAGGAGCCTAAGGATTTGGGCCATCTTCTACTACTATTCCAGGCCATAACAGAGAGCTGGATGGGAAGAGGAGCAGCTGAGACTAGAACCAGCACCCATATGGGATGCCGGTGCTTCAGGTCAGGGCTTTAACCTGCTGCGCCACAGCACTGGCCCTATTTATTTATTTTGAAAGTCAGAGTTGCAGAAGGAAAGGCAGAGACAGAGAGATCTTCCATCTGCTGGTTCACTCCCTAGATGTAATGGCCAGGGCAGGGCCAGGCCTAAGCCAGGAGTCTAGAACTTCATCTAGGTCTCCCATGTGGGTGGCAGGGGCCCAAGCTGCTTTCCCAGATGCATTAGTAGGGAGCTGGATGGGAAGTCAAACAGCCAGGATTTGAACCAGCAATCCAATATGAGATGCTGGAATTGCAAGCAGTGGTTTAACCCACTGTACCCACAGAGTAGGCCCCTGCACTAATGCCTTTAAAGGGCAGCATCCCCAGTGACTTAAGCACAGCCCACTAGGCCCCACTTCCAGCACCTTGATAATGGCACACAGGAATGGAGTTTCCAGCATATCAAGCTTTGCTGGATGCACTCAAACCATATCCAAACCACAGCGGAAATAAGTCACCAGTGCAGTGAGGCAGCCCTGCTCTGAGCAGCTGGAGGGAGATGGATCACTGAGGTTCAGCCTCCGGTTTCTGATGCAACAGAGTGGGGGCAGAGGTGATTTCTAAGGTCTGAATCCCGGGCAACAGCAGGGTCCGTGGAAATTCTCTAAGGTCAGCACTACCAAAATCAAGTCCAAGGGCAGTCAGCCACTTTACATTCACCTCCACCCCAGAGGGGTTTGCAGCTGCAGGAGGAACTTGTTTGGAGCCAAGGATGGGAAAAGGGCAACAGGTGATTGATGCCACAGCCAATGTTCCTATAGGTGGGGAAGAGGGGGTGGACAGGGCCTGGAGATGAATTCCAAAGTGGTGCTACTCAAGTGTGGTTGCTGGCCTGTTGGCTGTGTGGCCTTTGATGAAATGGGAATGTTTAAAAATTTTTATAAGGGCTGGTGCTATGGTGCAGTTTATTTTTATTTTTTTTATTTTTTTGACAGGCAGAGTGGACAGTGAGAGAGAGACAGAGAGAAAGGTCTTCCTTTGCTGTTGGTTCACCCTTCAATGGCCGCCGCGGCCTGTGCACTGCGGCCAGTGCACCGCGCTGATCCGATGGCAGGAGCCAGGTACTTATCCTGGTCTCCCATGGGGTGCAGGGCCCAAGGACTTGGGCCATCCTCCACTGTACTCCTGGGCCATAGCAGAGAGCTGGCCTGGAAGAGGGGCAACTGGGACAGAATCCGGCACCTTGACCGGGACTAGAACCCGGTGTGCCGGCGCAGCAAGGCGGAGGATTAGCCTAGTGAGCTGCGGTGCCGGCCACTATGGTGCAGTTTAAATTGCTGCCTGTGGTGCTGGCATCCCAGTTCAAGTCCTGGCTGCTCTACTTCTGATCCAGCTCCCTGATAATATGCCAAGAAAAGCAACAGACAATGGCCCCCAAGTCCCTGGGTCCCCACACCCACATGGAAGACCTGGAAGAAGCTCCTGGCTCCTGGCTTTGGCTTGGCCTGGCCTGGCTGCAGCCATTGCAGCCACTGGGGAGTGAATCAGCAGATGGAAGATGTCTCTCTCTCCCTATGTTTCTTCCTTTTTCTTTGTAACTCGCCTTTCAAATAAAATATGTACATCTTTAAAAATAACTTATAAACAGTGCAACCAAGTAAGATTGTGACTTTTGGATGTAATAATACAAATTTTATCTTGTGTGTCTTTTTAAATTTCATTTTTCTAGTAAGCTATTTCTCATTGTATTTTCTTATTATTTTTTAAAATATTTATTTATTTGAAAGGCAGAGTTACAGAGAGGCAGAGGCAGAGGCAGAGAGAGAGAGAGATAGAGAGATCTTCCATCAGCTGGTTCACTCCCCAAATGGCTGCAACGGCCAGGCCTGGGCCAGTCTGAAGCCAGGAGCCAGGAGCTTCTTCTAGGTTTCCCATGCAGGTGTAGGGACCCAAGGACTTGGGCCATCTTGTACTGCTTTCCCAGGCCATAGCAGAGTGCTGGATCAGAAGTGGAGCAGAGACTGGCGCTGTGGCACAGAGGGTTAATGCCCTTGCTTGAAGTGCTGGCATCCCATATGGGTGCCGGTTCAAGACCCGGCTGCTCCACTTCCAATCCAGCTCTCTGCTATGGCCTGGGAAAGCAGTAGAAGATGGACCAAGTTCTTGGGCTCTTGCACCCACATGGGAGACCTGGAACAAGCTCCTGGCTCCTGGCTTCAGATGAGCACAGCTCTGGTCATTGTGGTAAATTGGGGAGTGAACCATTGGATGGAAGACCTCTCTCTCTGTCTCTCCTCTCTCTGTGTAATTCTGACTTTTAAATCAATAAATCTTTTTTTTTTTTTTTTTTTTTTTTTTGTACAGGCAGAGTGGACAGTGAGAGAGACAGAGAGAAAGGTCTTTCTTTTTCTGTTGGTTCACCCCCAAATGGCCGCTCCGGCTGGCGCGCTGCGGCCAGCACACCGTGCTGATCCGAAGCCAGGAGCCAGCTGCTTCTCCTGGTCTCCCATGCGGGTGCAGGGCCCAAGGACTTGGACCGTCCTCCACTGCACTCCTGGGCCACAGTAGAGAGCTGGCCTGGAAGAGGAGCAACCGGGACAGAATCCGGCGCCCCGATCAGGACTAGAACCCAGTGTGCTGGAGCTGCAGGTGGAGGGTTAGCCTATTGAGCCGCCGCACCGGCCTAAATCAATAAATCTTTATTTAAAAAAAAAAAGTGGAGCAGCCAGGACTCAAACTGGTGCCAATATGGAGTGCTGGCACTGCAGGAGGTAGTTTTACCTGCTGCACCACAGCAATGGCCCCTGTCATTGTATTTTATAAAAGACTCTGTCATGAATTGGGAATTAAAAGCAAATGCAAAAAAATTATAAATGTTTGAGGTGATGAATATGCTAATTATTCTGACTTGATCATTGTTCATTCTATACATGTGTCAAAATATCACATTGTACCCCAGAGTAAAATAAACAAAAAGACACCCTCCACCCTCCTCTTCCATTGTAATTTTATAAGCACTGTTCTAAAACCAGCTGGTAGGGGAGAATGCTTGGCACAGCAGTTCAGAGGCCCACTTGTTGGGACCGGCACTGTGGCATAGCAGGTAAAGCAGCCTGCAGTGCCAGCATCCCATAAGGGTGCCAGCTCCAGTCTTGGCTGCTCCACTTCTGATCCAGCTCTCTGCTTTGGCATGGGAAAGCAGTGGAAGATGGTCCAAGTCTTTGGGCCCTTGCACTCATGTAGGAGACCCAGACGAAGTTCCTGGCTCCTGGCTTTGGATCGGCGCAGCTCCAGTCATTGTGGCCATCTGGGGAGTGAACCAGCAGATGGAAGACCTCTCTTTCTCCCTCTCTCTGCCTTTCAAACAAATAAATAAATCTTAAAAAAAAAAAAAAAAAAAGAGGCCCATTTGTGGACTGGCGCTGCCACCTAGTATGTTAAGCCTCCGCTTGCCGCACCAGCATCCCATATGGGTGTCAGTTTTTGTCCCAGCTGCTCCTCTTCTGATCCAGATCTCTGCTTATGGCCTGGGAAAGCAGTGGCCATAAAGTGCTTGGGCCTCTGAACCCATGTGGGAGACTCGGAAGAAGCTCCCAGCTCCTGGCTTCGGATCAGCCTAGCTCAGGCCATTGCAGCCATTTGGGGAATGAACCAGTGGATGGAAGATCTCTCTCTTTGTCTTTCCCTCTCCTCTGTATCTCTGCCTCTCAAATAAATAAATGAGAGAGAGAGAGGGAGGGAGGGAGGAAGAAAGGAGAAAAAAAGAGAAGAGAAGAGGAGAGGAGAGGAGAGGAGAGGACAGGACAGGACAGGACAGGACAGGACAAGACAAGTCTACTTACAATGCCCTCATCTCTTATTGGAGTGCCTGGGTTTGAGTCCCAGTTCTGTTGTTGACTCCATCAATTCTGCTAATTCGGACCCTGGGACGCAGCAGGTGATGGCTAAAGTACTTGTATCTTTGGATTCAACTCCCAAATTCCCAGAGACATAGATTGAATTCCCAGATCCTGGCTTTGGCTTGGCTCTGTCTTGGCTACTGGACATACTTGGGGAATGAACCAATGGATGAGATATCACTCTCTCTCTCTTACATCTAAATAAATGAAAACTTTATTAAATTTATTTTATTAAACTGGGGAAAGTATAAACCTAAAAAATAACAACAACTCCCAATCTTCACTGCACATTAGAATCTCTTGGATCAGCATTTAAAAACCACCATCACTGGGTCCCACCCCCATACCAACTAAATCAGAATCTCTTGGAGGTTGGGCCCACACAGACATGTTTTGGAAAAATTCCCAGCGGATGTAATGTGTGGCTAGGTGGAGGATCTCCGCTTCACTGAAGGATCAACCTTGGAAATGGGAGGATGGAGGCCTTTGGCAGAGGTCCCCACAATTGCCTGCACATGGGAATCACCGGGGAAATTTCTAAATGCAGTGATGCTGCGTCCCACAACACAAGGCTGCAAGCTACTTGGTCTGGTGTTGGCATCTGGAAACTTCCTGAGATGACTGTGATGTGCAGAGAAGTTTGGGAATCCCTGCACTAGAATATTCCCTGATAACAGGTGCTAGTTGATTGACAAAGGAGTAATAGTTGCCTGCTCACTCACTCTCAGCTCCTCTTTTTGCCAGAGATCAACAACAGAACAAGCCACTGTAACTTTGACCAGAATGTTGGGTTTGGTTCTGCAAAGCAGAGATGGAGTAAATGGGCCTTGGTTGGTCTAAGCAATAGCGAAGGTAAGTGCCCCTCTCCACAAGTGGCCTTTAAACTTGGAGGGTCAGACTTGGTGCTGGTCCCAGTCTATCCTGAGTTCCCTTCCCACTGTCCTTCCTGCCAGAGAGACTTATAAATGACACAGAACTCCAACAGCTTCTCTCTGTTAGTCATGACTTCAACTTAGAAGCCAAACTCAGAACAGCTCATTTATTGGTTGTTGACATGGAAAAGTCCAAAAGTGCTGCTAATTTCAGTCATGGCTGAATCCAAGGGCTCAACTGGGATAGTCAGGAATATGTCCTTCTCAGCTCATGGCTCTGCTCTCTCTGCCGGGCAGAGATTACTTAGAAGTAATCAGAGGGGACCAGTACTGTGGCATAGAGGGTAAAGCTGCTGCCTGCAGTGCCGGCATCCCATATGGGCACCGGTTCAAGTCCCAGCTGCTCCACTTCCAATCCAGCTCTTTGCTATGGCCTGGGAAAGCAGTGGAAGACAGCCCAAGTCCTTGGGCCCCTGCACCTGTGTGGGAAACCTGGAAGCTCCTGGCTTCTGGCTTCAGAGCTCTGACCTTTGTAGCCAACTGGGAAGTGAACCAGCGTATGGAAGACTTCTCTCTCTCTCTTCCTCTCCTTCTCTCTCTGTGTAACTCTGACTTTCAAATAAATAAATAAATCTTTAAAAAAAAGTAATCAGAAGTAAATCCACAAATTTTAGAAATCCATACAAGACATGAATGAACATTTTTCCCATGAAACTGAGATTTCAAAGAAAAATCAAAATGAAATATTGCAAATGAAGAATTCAATAGATCAAATAAAAAATGTGGTGGAAAGGCTTAACAACAGAATTGGTGAGGCAGAAGGAAGAATATCCGAGTTAAAAGACATATCTCTGGAAATTTTACCAGTGGGTATATCATACAAAAAAAAAAAAAAAAAGAAAGAAAGAAAGAAAAAAGAAATTAGAAAACTAAAAAGCAGTGTTGGGGATTTATGGGATACTATCAAATGACTCAACATATCTTAGGAGTTCCTGAAGGCATGGAAAAAGAGAATGGATTAGAAGGCCTTTTTAGTGAAATAATTACAGAAAACTTCCCTAATTTGGAGAAAAAAAGGGATGTCCAGGAAGCACATAGAACTCATAATAGACATCACCAGAAAATATCTTCCCCATAACACATTATAGTCAAACTCTCCACAATAAAGCATAAAGATTCTAAAATGTGCATGAGAGAAATTCCAGATTACTTTCAAAGGATCTCCAATAAGATTCACAGCTGACTTCTCATCAGAAACCCTATAAGCTAGGAGAAAATGGTGAGATATAATCCAAGTCTTAAGAGAAAAAAACTGTCAACTCAGACTACTGTACCCTGCAAAGCGCTCATTTATGAATGAAGGTGAAATAAAGACCTTCCATAACAAACAGAATTTGAAAGAATTTGTCATCACTCATACAGCCTTACAAAAGATGCTTAAGGATGTGCTACACACAGAAACATGGTCATCACTATGAAAGAAGAGGAAGGCAGAAAATCTCCCAGTAAAAGTACAAATGAAATCCAAAGTAAACAATAGGAACATTTATGGAAAAATGGCAGGGAAATTGAACTTATTCTGGGTTTTCTTCTGTAGTTCCTTAGATTTCAGAATACCCTGACACTGGGAATCTAGTCACATATTAACACAATCTGGTTTTGAATCTTTTAAAAAAGAATGCATTGATTATACTGGACCATCTTTTTTTTTCCTTCTCTTATTACATACCATTTGTATGATTACAGTGTTAAGTCTTAGTTCTTATGTCTGAGCAGAAGAGTGTATCAGTGGGGCCAGGGCTGTGGTGCAGTGAAAGCCCTGGCCTGAAGCGCCATCATCCTTTGTGGGCACCGGTTCTAGTCCTAGCTGCTCCTTTTCTGATCCAGCTCTCTGCTATGGCCTGAGAAAGCAGTAGAGGATGGCCCAGGTTCTTGGACCCCTGCACCCATGTGGGAGACCTGGAAGAAACTCTTGGCTCCTGGCTTCAGATCAATGCAGCTCCTGCTGATGCGGCCAATTGGGGAGTGAACCAGATGATGGAAGACCTCTCTATCTCTATCTCTTTCTGTAACTCTTTCAAATAAGTAAAATAAACCTTTTTTTTTTTTTTAAAAAAAAGGAGTGTATCAGTTATTTTAAATGAATTTTTCCCTGTCTTTGAAGTTCAGTCTGTAAGTGTGCCATAAGAGAAAATAATTGGGTCTGTATTACTTGAATACTTGAAAACTGAAATTGATAAGATACATTATGTAATAAATTAGGTTTTCATTTCTGGATAAAATTAAAAATGAAAAAAATGTACTACTTAAAGGGTAAAAATGATAGTGCTTATAAGCACTGTGAACACTTTTGTGTTTGAGGCTCCCCAAATCCAAGTGTTTAAAAGATTTTTCTCCTACATCCTGCTCTTCTTTTCTGTGCTTCATGCATTTGTTCTTATTATTGTTGTAAAACAGCAGGGTGAAGTGTCACTATATCTGTGTTCATTACTAATCCCATATCTTTTCTAGTTAGGAAAAATGTCTCAAAAATACTCTTAGTGTCATTTTTGTGCTAATATTTTACCCACTAATGGTATTTTAGATACCTTTAATCATTTTAATAAGATGTCTGCCAGCGCCACGGCTCACTAGGCTAATCCTCCGCCTTGCGGCGCCGGTACACCGGGTTCTAGTCCCGGTCGGGGCGCCGGATTCTGTCCCGGTTGCCCCTCTTCCAGGCCAGCTCTCTGCTATGGCCAGGGAGTGCAGTGGAGGATGGCCCAAGTACTTGGGCCCTGCACCCCATGGGAGACCAGGAAAAGTACCTGGCTCCTGCCATCGGATCAGTGCGGTGCGCTGGCCGCAGTGCACCGGCTGCAGCGGCCATTGGAGGGTGAACCAACGGCAAAGGAAGACCTTTCTTTTTTTTTTTTTTTTTTTTTTTTTATTTTTTTGACAGGCAGAGTGGACAGTGAGAGAGAGAGACAGAGAGAAAGGTCTTCCTTTTGCCGTTGGTTCACCCTCCAATGGCCGCCGCGGCCGGCGCGCTGCGGCCGGCGCACCGCGCTGATCCGATGGCAGGAGCCAGGAGCCAGGTGCTTTTCCTGGTCTCCCATGGGGTGCAGGGCCCAAGCACCTGGGCCATCCTCCACTGCACTCCCGGGCCACAGCAGAGGGCTGGCCTGGAAGAGGGGCAACCGGGACAGAATCCGGCGCCCCGACCGGGACTAGAACCCGGTGTGCCGGCGCCGCTAGGCGGAGGATTAGCCTAGTGAGCCGCGGCGCCGGCCAGGAAGACCTTTCTTTCTGACTCTCTCTCACACTTCCGCTCTGCCTGTCAAAAAAAAAAAAAAAAAGTGTCTATAAAAATTTAAAACATTACACATTGTATTTGAGCTAGTTAGTGAAGAGTAAGAGAAAAAACTAGCTTATTGAGACTGTAGATGTTTCATTAAATTTCAAAATTTTTAATAAAGAAACTTTCAGAGATAGGTTGAGACCCGACAGTATCCATTAAACTAGCTCCTGTGATGTGAAAAAGAACCCCGGAAGCAGTGGAGGACATGTGAGGGCATTTACTTGCCATGGTTGTGGGTGTGGTCTGCTCATACTTAAATACAGGTAGCGACACACTGACATTTTTGTTGCCCAATAATCTGGAGTAGTGTCCGGCATTTATCTGTACTAAAATAACTATAAATTAATGGAATCTACAAAGAAGAAACTTTATGATTGTACTATATTTGGGAGCCTTTGTATAGCTAGGTAAAGTTTCCATGATACAAAGTATTTGGATTTTAGAATTTACTATTATAAAGAAGACATGGCATTATCCCATGTGCTTAAATGATAGCTTGCTTATTGAGTTTCAGAAAAAAACAATATGAAATGATGAATTGTCTCTGTGATGGCTATAATGTTAAATTGGCAAGTTGTAGCATAAAGCTTAAACCTGTTTCTCAAATGTGAACCACAGTAGTCTAATGCTGCTTTGCATATACTGTAAGGGCTACAAATAGTTTCAGCACTGAACACATATTGATACCTTTCAGATGAATGCAACCTGGTGTTCTCTATGCCTCAGAAAGTGTCTGTGTCTGCAAATTTGTTAATCTGTTTAGTAATGGAGATACTTCCTGTTCTTTTTTCGTTGTTCCATATTTTCATGTTTAAATGTGAATTTTCACATTTTTACTACTGTTAATTTAAGCACAACTTGTGCAATGGTTAAATGCAGTTGTCAGTGAAGAAACGTAAAAACAACCTCATTCATGTAACTGCTTAAGTAAAAACTTTTTGTTTTCTATGTTCATTTAGTTTTTTTTATGATTTATTTATTTATTTGAAAGGCAGAGTTACAGAGAGGCAGAGGCAAAGAGAGAGAGAGAGAGCCTTCCATCTGCTGGTTCACTCCCCAAATGTCTGGAGCTGCGCTGATCCGAAGCCAGGAGCCAGGAGCTTCCTCCGGGTCTCCCATGTGGGTGCAGGAGCCCAAGTGTCTTCTGCTTTCTCAGGCCATAGCAGAACGCTGGATTGGAAGTGGAGCAGCCGAGATTCGAACTGGGGCCATATGGGATGCCAGCACTGCAGGTGGTGACCCCTCCATTCATATACTTCTAATGATCTGTATTTCTGTTTAAATATAAGTGATGATGTTTAGGTTTTGTGCCTGTTTAATAAGACTCTCTACCATTGACTAAATGAAGGAATGTTGAAGAGATTTTTATTCTGTAAATAAAAGTTGGTTGAAACAGTAAAAAAAAATTTTAATTATTCCATTTTCCATAAACTTTATTTATTGTCAATTTAATTTACTTGAAAGGCAGACAGATTTCTCTTCCACTGGTCTGTTCCCCAAATGCCTCCAATAACTGGGTCTGGACCAGGCTGAAGCAAAGACCATGAACCTCGCCGGCGCCGTGGTTCAATAGGCTAATCCTCCGCCTGCGGCGCTGAATACTGGGTTCTAGTCCCGGTCGGGGCACCAGATTCTGTCAGGTTGCCCCTCTTCCAGGCCAGCTCTCTGCTGTGGCCAGGGAGTGCAGTGGAGGATGGCCCAAGTGCTTGGGCCCTGCACCCCATGGGAGACCAGAAGAAACACCTGGCTCCTGGCTTCGGATCAGCGCGATGCAAAGGCCGCAGTGCGCCGGCAGCAGCGGCCATTGGAGGGTGAACCAATGGCAAAAGGAAGACCTTTCTCTCTGTCTCTCACTGTCCACTCTGCCTGTCAAAAAAAAAAAAAAAAAAAAAAAAAAAAGAGTGGAGTAATGAATTTTTTTTTCCATGAGAGGATCTCAAAGCCCAGTGGAGAGGGGCCCATGTTGTCATGAGTATGGTAAGCCACCATTTGGCACAGTTCAAGTGTGGGCTGCTCTGCTTCTGATTAGCTTCCTGCTGATATGAACAGGAAAGCAGTGTAAGATGGCCCAAGTACTTGGGTCCTTGCTACCTATGTGGGAGACCAGGAAGGAGTTCCTGGCTCTTAGTTTTGGTCTGGCCTGCACCTGGCTGCTGTGGCCATTTGGGAAGTGATGGAAGATCTGTCTATGCTCTCTCTCTGAAGTAAATAAATAGCCTAATGGAGAATGCAGACATACAACAATTAAATATACAATTAGCTAGATAATACCATATTGGAGGGAAGAAGTCAGTTTCTGGCAAGTTCAGTTTGTGATACTTGTGGGGAATCAGAGTATGATGGCTCCCAAACATCGGGAATTTCCTAAGTGAATTGAGTCTAAGATGTAGATGAGGGAGTAAAATTCCTAAAAGAGATGTAAAAGTTAACTGAGTGCCATATGGCTCAAGGAGAGAGTTTACTCAGAGAGTCTGAATGAGAAGGAAGGGTAGAGACTGGAACCCTGCAGGGAAATTTCTGGGCCAGGGCAGGGGCAGAGGCTGGGAGAGGTAAGAAGATCCAGAGTAGAGTATTGCAGAAATCAACAGGAATGACCAAGTAGGTTTCAAAAAAAAAAAAAAAAATCTTAAAGATTTATTTATTTGAAGGGCAGAGTGACAGGGTGAGACAGATCTTCTAGTTCCTCCTTCATTCCCTAAATGGCTGCAACAGCTAGGGCTGGGCCAAGCTGAAGCCATGAGCCTTGAATCCATCCCAGTCTTCCTGGTGGGTAGCAGGGTTATTAGCAGGGAGGTGGATCAGAAGCTGAGTACCTGGGATTCTAACCACTGTTAGAGAAGGTGGGTGTCCCATGCAATAGTTTAACTTGCTGTGCCACAAGGCCTGCCCCCACCATGTAGTTTGTGTATCTATCTGGTTTACCACTGTGTTCCCAGCGTTTTGCACCAGGCTTGATATACATTACAGCCTCCGCCCCCTGCACAACCTATGAATTGAAAATTAAACAGAGGCTGGTGTTGTGATGCAGTGGAAGCAATGCCTGTGATGCCAATATTCTGTATTCGAATGCAGATTTGAGTCCCAGCTGCTCTGCTTCAGATCCAGTTTCCTGTTAATGTGCTGGGAAGGTAGCAGACGGTAACCCTCGTGGGGATCCGAATGGAGTTACTAGCTCCTGGCTTGGGCCGCCTGGGGAATCTTCCATCCTCTGGTTTGGGGAAAGAATCAGATGGGAGATCTCTCCCCCCATCACTTTGCCTTTCAAATAAATAAATCTCAAACAAACAAACAAACAAAACACCCGAAACAACTAAATAGAACCCAGACATTTCAAGAAGCATGCACAGTATGCTACCCACCGGAAGTGCTCCAAGGAGGTGAGGACGAGCAGCACGGAAGGACTACTGCTTAGGGGACTTGGTTGAGCTAGCTCGGGAAGAAGTTAGAATTTTTAAAATATTTATTGATTTGCACTTTGTCTACTGTGTCCTGGGGATACAGAAATCCACAAAAACTCCTCTTGGCTCTCAAACTC